TCATCAACTCACAGCTGACAAAAAATACCTGTGTTCACAGGCAAGGCACGAGAGAAGGGGCACGAACTCACAAGAAAGCAACTCCATAGAATGGAAACTAGTCTAGCCCACTATCGAAAGGAACCTAACCTATGTCGTAAATAGAAGACAAGACTCAAACAGGAACAGAACCATGGAAGGAGAAAGACCCCCCCGTCCTTAGCCACCAGTTTCAGATGGATAGCAAATCAGGGCAATCAATCCCCGGTCAAAGGTTATATATTCAATTGAATGTGATTGATTATGAAAATGAAATAGAGATAGTCTTTCTTAAGTTAAGTTTTCTTACTTTTCCTTCTACAAGCGAGCTTATACGATTTAGCGTAGTGATAAGCCTATGCTTCTGCCTATACCCTTTTGGGGGGAAGCTATGTCATCTTTCATCCTTTTCAGCTTCCTTCGTCAAGCAAGAAAGAATATTGACTTAGACATCCATCCGGATTCCGGACTTAGTCTACTATACTAAAGAGGGTGAGATGCCTTTCTTGGCGCCAGCAAGGTGACTACTTACTTAGAGAAAAGCAGAGGTCTCTCCGTACCACGATAAAATTCAAATTGATTAAGACTGACATATAGGCAGCGTGTTCGCCACCACACTTTATTAATTAAATTTACAAAATGGGTGGGGGACTTTTTTTTTAGGTTTGTAAATCAGTAAATTTATGTTATAGTAGGGGCCTTCACAAATCCAATTTTCTCAAAGGACTAGTCCAGTATTCTTCTACAAGTCTCCTGCCCTTCCTATCAGCCAAGGACCAGCAACTAGGATTGTTCACAGAGCAGCCATCTTTCCCTCTCAAGCGAAGAAGACTGGTTACATGTCCGATCCGGTAGGGATGGTTCTTCTCGACAGATTAAGCTACTTACTATAGTTCGGGTATTGAACAAACGGGGGGGCAACTTGCCCGATAAGAAAAGTAGCCCGAGTGAAAGGATTGTAGCTAGAGTAGCTAAGGAGTTCTAGTTGTAGATAGGAGTTGACGAAATAAAAAAAAATATGTCCCTTTGTGGAACTGGTGACACCTGTACCACACTCTATGGCACACACTCTTAGTTGTAGTATACGAAGATGGTAACCTAGGCGTGAGAGAAGTAGCTAACAGAATAAATAGGGATTAGTGGTCAGGCATCATATGTCTTTATCCCCCTTTGTCTCGGTTTAGGTGCGGTAAGTGCGCAAAGGTGTGGAAGGAGCGAAAGCAGGAAATGAGACTACTACTAGCGGGACCAAGCCAAGGTTGAAAGATAAAGATCACAGGCATGTGGTGAACCAGACCGAGAGAAAGAAAGCACAGGCAGGATAGATACATACAATAGGGTAGGGATCTCCTTAGGAACATACAAAGTAGATTATCTCACTCCATGAGATAACTAGGACAGGCTATTTGAAGACCGTTTATTGCACCAACAGCGGCAACTGTTATAGCCCTGCCAGCAAGGAAGACTGCATTGTAAGACTTAGTCCCTTGTTCTAGTGATAGAGATAGAGATTGTAAGGTTGACGCATAAGAAAGTAAGTCTACCCTCGTTCTAGAGCTAAAGTAAGGAAGGACTCGACGGTTGTAGCAAGATAGGTTGTCTTTGCTCTATCCCTGAGTCATGTCCTAAGGGAAGGTGACCGGATTCACGGATCAAACGGCATCCCCAAGCACATGGGGATATGGAACGCGTGTCTAGTTCTCATTGGAAAGGAATCGGCTGAATATTCTTTCTGTCTCCCGCCTGACACAGTTTGACAGGCGGTGATACCTGATTGGCTCAAAATCTATAGTTGTATAAATAATATCAAGAGAACAAGCACGCAGGAAAAAGCAAGCGTCTGGTCAGATCAATCAAGAGATAGGGGTTCGTTCGGCCAAACATCTTTTTCCTAAGCTAGGACGGAGCTGGCGAGTGAGGATTGGCTGAGGGGCCCTTGGGCCTAAGGGAATAGATTGTAGCAGGGTACAAATAAGCCAGTGAAAGACGAGTAGGCAGGGTACGACGAAGTCCGCGGGGTGACACATGGTTGTACTGGTCAGCTTTGGGCTGGAGATTGACGATTGACTGAGCGTGCTTTGGCAGCTCGTGGTGGAGTACTCTCTGACGGATTCGCTCTATTATTGCCTCCTATTTTTGAGGGAGTGACCGGAATTAAGCCGCGTGGTGATACCCGCGAAAAACAAAGGACTATTTGATTCGCTTTTTGGGCAGGGCCTTTCGTACTCCAATCCGTACGAAGATAATTATTCAGCACACTAAAATCTAGTGGATCTGGTTCCATATTCATGAAAAGCCGGGGTTTAAACATGTTATGAAACTAATAAAAGAATTCTTACTAATAATAAGAAAGAGTTAAGCGCCTCCAAGGCCTATAAATAGAAGCTTCTTCCAGTCTATATTTTCAAAGAGAGAGGTAGAAGTCAGAAAGAAAGACTTGAAGTAACACAACACTCTTATGGATATCATCGCCGAAAGACTTTCCCAAATCAATCACGAAATTCAAAATGTAGAAAACGAGAAGCTCCAAGACGAGTGTTTGCTCGGTCTTTTCTGGGAGCACCCGCCTGCTCTCGATCCGGAGGTCATAGGAAGAGCCATGCAACAGATTCGGGACCGCATTAGCGGTCTGGAAGACAGGAGGAGGGCGCTGCTCGAAGAAAAGCAAGCGCTCATTGTGGAGGGGGCCATAAGGAACCGCAGGGGAAATGGAAACAACGGGGGGAACTAAGAAGAGTCAGTCGACTCTTTCGTCAAGATTTAAATAAGTGTCTGTAGACGCAAAGTAGTGTGTTTTAATGTATGGTCTTCTTTTTCTTTGTTTGGTGGTTGGGCCTACCCACCCTATGCTAAGTGTCTTTGTTTGGTTTTCTTTGTTGTCTTTGCATGTATGGGCCAAAACCTAGTCTAAAGTGTTCATTGTTATGTTTAATAAAGTTCTATGTCTTTTGTTAACTTAATATGTTGTTAGTTAACTTTGTAATGTTGTGTTTAGTTGTGTGGCTGGTCTATGTGTGTGTAAGCTTTCTATTGGATGTACTCCCATGTAAAAAAATGCGAGTAGTGCTGGAAAAAAAATATGCTTTGTTCTAGTTCATTCTCTTTCCCTGTTTTGTGTTTCTCCCGAGAAGCTGAAAATATTAAAAGCCTCGGAGCGAAGTCTGTCCCGAACGACAATTCCACCCTCTTTTTCTTTCACAAAGACGAACTTGCTGCCGCGTTAAAACGCCCCTCCAAAGGGCTTTCTTCCTCTCCCTCCCTTCGGTCGAGTATATTGCATAACCTCTCCCTTCTCCCTTCGCCCTTCGGGCTCATATATTCTAAACCTTCGCCCGCTTTTCGGGCTCACATATTCTCCCTTTCAGTCGAGCTACTTCGTTCCTTCCTAGCCGTCTATTTCAATCGTGCCAGTTGGAGGAAAGGAGGGATTAAAGGCATGAAAAGCTATTCATTGGAAGACAAGGAAAACTAATGGGCTGTTAAGTCCAGGTCGAACGACTTCTACTTCTTTATGGATGGCGGGAGGCAGGTGTTGGCTTCGCTCTTACGTTTCGCTTCTAAACTCGCTCCTCGCTTTTGTTCAATTATAAATAAATAACCACTTTGATGGAGATTTGTAGCATCATTCAAGTAAATACAGATTGAGATCGTAGAAACATGAGCTTGTGATATAGCTACACCTAATTCCAAACCGGTTAATGCAAGAACTATAAATAAAGGACCAGGATCCCCTATGAAATAGAAAAGATCATTCATACATAGCATAGTCCAAGCGAACGCTGATGAATTGGTCGCGACTGCCAAGACTTCACCTGTAATAGTTGCTTTACGCGGTCTTTTGATTGAACCGTTCAAAGGTAGAAAATTTTCATAACTAAACATTGACATAATCAGTTTTTTGGTTCTTGATCATATTACCAATTCGACTGAAACGCCCAGGTGTTACAGCTTCAACATCTTCTGCTGCATTCATAACTTTGAACCCTCAATCTATAGATGTCACTGACCTGATACAAGCGTATGTACTATATCAACCCTATCGTGTGTGTGTATATTTATATTTATTTACGCATTCATTAAAATTTCAATTACAACAAGGCTTCCAATGAGCTTGGAATTGTTGATTTGCTGCCCGTTAAATTTGAAACACCTGAAAAAGCTGTTGAACATGAAAGAGAATTACAAAAAACTCTCGGAGAACTTATAACGCTTCAGTGTGGGTGCTTCACCGGTAGTCTTCACTATCATCATCTAATTTTTATTGTTTATTTAGTACTTCCCATTACTGTTAATATTAAGTACTACCCATTATTGTCTATTTAACGCCTGTTACATGTGTATAATGTAGAATGAAAGGTATAAATGTCAAGCAACAGTAGCTGCCATAGACGGAGAGAAGGATTGGACATATCTTGGTTGCTCAAAATGTTATAAAGCCGTCAGCACATGTGGTCAAAACTATTGGTGTGAAAAGGACCAGCTATTATCGCCATTGGAAGCAAAGCAATGGTATTGTCTAAATTCATATTGAATTTCTTTCTCAATGTGTATCGTTTTCTCATATTTAGGCCCGTAATTCATTGCAGCTACCGCATTCGAATGATTGTTCAACAAGGTGGTGACGAAGCTATCTTCCTCCTCATAGGAAAAACAGCAGAAGATTACATACACCATCCTGCTTCTGAATTGTTGAAAACATTCACAAATGCAGATGGAAATTTGCCAACCGTAGTTGAAGCATTCTGCGGGCAAACGTTAAACTTTGCCATTCGGCTGCCTAAACAGAGGTTCAACGGCAATGATGGCGACTTCATAATAAGTAGTATCTCTGGACTGATTAATGAAACAACCAAGACACCTAAAAGTGCACTTTTCCAATTGAAGGATGAGAATACGTAAGTCTCAGCTATAAGCTTTCTCCTTCCAAAGTGCTTTTTCTATATACAATTAACTTTCTTCGTCATATTATGCAGCTCTGCTACTGATGAAAATGTGATGGTCCATCAACAGGAAGAACGTAAAGCAATTCAGGATAAATCATCTGCAATGTAAGGAGCTGTTAAATAATTACTCATAAGAAATTAACATTTCTTTAGATGATATCCTGAGTTTCTTATTTCATGCAGGACCGCATCACCAACTTCTTCCACCGACGACTTGAAATCGATTGAAAAACTAACAAAGAAAAAACAACAGTGCAAGAAAGATGTCAGCTCTATACCTCGGTGAGTGAAAGTTTCACATCTTACTATTATACAAACCATATAAAGAATAATGGATTTCTGAATTTTTTGCTTTAATCAGCAGCAGCATGAGGAAACAAATCCCTCAGAATGACAAAGTCATCACAATGGAATCACCAAATCATATAGTGAATGAAAATTCTTTGTCGGAAAAAGGAAAAACAGAAGAGCCCCAACTCTGCTGATAATTATTTCAAAACTGCCAAAAGGTGATCGTTCCTTCACAAAACTCTAGATTTTTTGTTGCTTAGAACACACCAATGATCTTTATATAATAAATATATGTGCTTAATGTTTGCAGCTTCATTACCGTGGAGAATTTTAAAAAAATTATTTTCACAAGGAACCAAACTAGATTTAAATTATATGTGGCCTCCTTATTTCATTCAGGATACAATCACCAGCTTCCTCCGACGATGGCTTGCCTCTGAGTGAAATACTAACCAGGAATAAAAACTCAGCTAAGAAGTTAGTACACAGAAATGCATTTTCTGGCCTTCATTAAGAGCCAAACTTTAACATCTTATTAATATAGAGAACATAAGTGCAATTTGGAAGGCTAACTGTTTTCCTTGAATCAGGACAACTGCCAAACAGAAGCATGGAGCTGACCAAGTCATTGAAGTTGACTCCACAAAGATGAAACGTAAAAATTCCAAGTATGTTATCAATTCTTCCAAACACTCATTGGGTGATAATTTCTTTACTCTCTATAGGTTTAATTTATAGAGAACACCAAACTTTAACATCTTATTAATAAAGAGAACATAAGTACAATTTGGAAGGCTAACTGTTTTCCTTGAATCAGGACAACTGCCAAACGGAAGCATGAAGCTGATCAAGTCATCGAAGTTGACTCGACAAAGATAAAACGTACAAATTCCAAGTATGTTATAAATTCTTCCAAACAGTCATTGGGTGATAATTTCTTTACTCTCTTTAAGTTTAATTTATACAAAACACCAATACTAATGATATTTTTCAATAATACTAGGCCAACTTCAGCATGTGCTACTTCTGTTCCACCCCCACTAAGTTCAGAGGTGATTGACCTTGAGAAGAATTCTACTAAGATCCAATCCCATAGCATTGTCACTTCAGCTTCCAAGTAAGAGTTATCATCGTGCCAGTATGTGATTCTATCTGTCTGGTATAATTGACCGCTTATGATTTGAAAACAATTGATAATTTAGGTTCTTGGCTTGCCCAATTTGATTGCCAATTTAGCAAGACTAGATTTTAGCATCCTTATATACAACCTTTTACTTACCACTTGAAAGTCCTTTACGTCAGAATTTCTGTTATTCGATGGAGCTTTCTGTTTTCACAATTCTAGGTATTAATTCATGCTGAAATGGGTTGGCTTTGTATGATTAAAGTAGAAATAATCGAAATCAGTTGAGATTTTCAACTATGTATTTCCTTTTTTCATAAATCTTTGTTTCAGTGCATGGGTATCAATTTGTCTTCTTCAATTTTTTTTTTGGTAATGATTTGTCTTCTTCATTAATCCTTCTTTCAATGTGCAGCATTCACGCACCATTGGCAAAAGTAAAAAAGGAAAAACTTGATGCCATGTCTAAATCCAACCCAAAGGACAAGGATTCTCGAGCAACAGCTGCTTCTCAAGCCATTGGGAAAAGGACACGAAGGCCTTCAACCAAATTGATGAGTTAGGAATAACTCAGCAAATCAAAAGCAAAACTCTTAATCACCTTCATGCATTTATCAGAACTTTTAGAAGAATCTTTTGTCGCTATTTTTCCTTTAAACAATATCTATTTCAGTCTTTACTTTAGATTACTCTCTTTTTACCATTCGGAGCTGTTGGAATGTAATACTGGATTCATATTAAACTATCTATAGAACTGAGACATCGGATATATTTAATCTAGCCACTTAGTTTGTCAAGACCGGTTTTGTTTCAGATATAAGAAAATTAACCCAGAAACAGTCCCAACTCCCAACAGAGGATTGAAAGTCGTGACCTTCTACTGAAGGCTAACTTAGTATGAATTACCGACCAGTACGAATTGATTGAATCATGATTCAACCACAGTTTTTAATATAAAATGTTCTATTGTTCATGTTTATAGTTTTACAATACGGAGCCAACTCATCATCCACCTTAGTCTAAACCATGGTTGTCACGCCGATCGGCATGCCACCGGTTGTACCTGGTTCAATCGGTACCGGTCGTAAAACCGGTATGACACTACCGGTAGGATCGTTATGATCGATATATGAATCTCTAAGTAAAATGGCCTTATTTAATTGATAAAAATTATTCTATTATTTATTTTAGTGAATTTAATTAATAAAATTATTTTATTATTTATTTTATGAGTATAAAAGTTAAATATTGGTATTATTTGTTGGATTCAAGTATAAATATTTGGATATTGATGTTAAATGTCGTGTTTAAATATGAGTATTTATAATTTAATTTGTAACATTGACCAGCACAAACCGATATGTGTCACCGATTCAACCATTCCACTTGCTAAACCGGCACACTAGCATAAACCGGTTTGACAACCTTGGTCTACACTAAGACAAACTAAGAGAAAACGAAAAACAAATCTACACAAACTGATAAAAGAAGAATAAACATTACACTAACAGAGACCCACGACAATTAAACCAACTTTACCAATTCCCATCTTGCTTCTCTGTATGTCTTCCCCTTTCTTCTTACCATTACGAAATGCCCCAATGTTCCTTTCTTCTTTATTAGTCCCCTCCGCCCCAACTCTCTCTTTCTTTTACCTTGCAAGAATTAATAAAGTTGGCCTGATCACAGCGGCGGACATTGAACGAAATGCCTCTCCGTCTCTCTTATGCATTATTCATTCTCATTATTTCCTTGGAATTTATTGATTCCAGCAAGTCACAGTTCGATGGGCCGGTGGCGGTAGCTAAGCTAATTGATGACATGGTCGCCACCAATACCTACTATCTGCTGCAGAGGCCCGCGTCGATCCAATCAGGTTTAGTTCCGCCTGTTGCCACCACCCAACATTTTACGCCTTCAATTCGGAGTTCGGACAACTTTGCACTCCTATATAGCGAATACTCTTTTGCCTGCCGCAAAAATCTCTTCCGGCTCTGAAACCCTATCTTCACTACAACGGCGGCGCACCATACAAACCTTTACTCCAAACTTCAACGAAAAATCACGAACCTGCACTTTGACACCATCATTCTCTTCCTTCTCCCGCCACTAAATACGTCAATAGCGGTATGTATGAAATTGCTTCAAGTCTTCATTGCAATGTCTTCCTTCTAATGGATTCTTCTTTCATTGTCTATTTGGTGCTTGCTGTGTATAAAATTTTCAGACACAAAGCTTTGATTAACAACAATTGTTGCACTGATGTTGCAGCAGAATATACTTCGGATCAAAGAGAATTTACAACGATCAGCACAAGTTATCGACTCATCTACTAAAAACATATCGTAGGTAAGTCTTCAACCACTCAAATACTGCTTACATTTAAACATCATATGTAGGCATGCGATTGACTATTTTAAGGATTCCTTAGCTGTTATACAATCATGGACTCAACCAATGAGGCAACAGATGAGCCACAACAAACACGAAGGAAGCCTGGGATTCTTAGGCCATCGACGAAGCGACCTACACCAGAAACAACAGATATGCCTTCAGCAACGCCATTGCCAAAAAGAAGGAAATCAGGGATTGATAGGCGCTCACGGCTGTACGGTCTTACATCCTCTAATCCATTCTCATGTCCAGCACAACAAACTTCAGCAGCTGCCATGTTCATAGGCCAAGAAACACAAAATAATGTGGATACACAAATGGAGAATGAACCAGTCGCTTCAGTACAACAAATTCCTCCTCTGCCACCAGTACTCAATAATATCATCCTTGATTTGGGATTACCTACCATAGCTTGCACACACTGTGGTGCACGCTTTTGGCCGCACGAACAACTCAACTATCATAGAAGAAGCAACTCACTAATCTTCGCATTGTGTTGTCAACAAGGAAAAATTCAGCTGCCACTTCTTAAGTTGACACCGCCTTTTCTGGATAAGCTTCTTGATGTCAACGGCGATTCAATGTCCACTCACTTTGCGAAGCATCGACGACCATACAATGCTGCGTTCTCATTTACATCAATTGGTGCACAACTTGATCCACGACTATTCAGTTCTAGAGGACCCTACTCAATGGTAATATGTGGTGAGAACTATCATCGAATAGGTTCTTTATTACCACCGTTCGGACAAAGACCGAAATTTGCTCAATTATACATCTTTGATCCATCTACAGAAGTTGAAGACAGGATGGCAAACTTCTCAAATAATGACAATGTATTACTACCAGAAATTGTTGAGGGGCTGATACAAATGCTAGATGAGACAAATGAGTTGGTACGAAGCTTCAGAAGAGTAAGACAATGTCTATAGGATCCTGCAAATGAAAATCTGCGTTTGAGAATAGTGGGTTCTAGAATACAAAATGCAAGACAGTATGAATTACCTACAGGGGAAGAAGTTGCAGGCCTTATTCCTGGAGATTTCCATCCTGAGAAACGCGATAGAGATATTATTGTTGAACACAGAAGTGAAGGCCTAAGACGTATAACGAGTTTGAACCCCAAATATGATGCATTACATTTTCCTCTGCTCTTTCCGTACGGAGAAGATGGCTACCATACAGGCATATCATATGCTCAAGAAGTACTTAATCCATCAGCACATAGAAAGTGCATGACTCAAAGAGAGTACTATTCTTTTCGTCTGTAACATCGAGACAGTGAAGGAACTACACTACTTAGGGGTGGGAAAGTTTTACAGCACTACATCATAGATGCATTCTGCTCGATTGAAAATAATCGACTACTATTCATCAGGAAAAATCAGGATGTATTGCGATCAGAGATATTTCAAGGATTATATGATGCATTCCAAGCAGGTGAAGTAACAGGTAAAAATTTAGGCCGGATTATATTACCTTCTTCATATACAGGGAGTCCCCGGTATATGAAGCAATTGTACCTGGATGCAATGGTGATCTGTCAATATTTTGGAAATCCAGACCTGTTCATTACATTCACCTGCAATGCCCAATGGCCCGAAATAGTACATGCATTCGAGAATACAGTCGGACTTCGAAGTGAAGATAAACCACATATAGTGGATAGAGTATTCAGAATGAAGTTGAAAGCTTTGAAGGACCGCATAGTTAAGGAGAAGTTCTTTGGTACAACTGTGGCAGGTATGAAAGCATGATATAATATTTCTTTGTACTGACTTCAATTTATAATGATAATAGCATAACGAATGACATGTTTAATTCCCAGATTTACATACCATAGAGTTCCAGAAAAGAGGCCTTCCTCATGTGCATATTCTGGTGTGGCTAGCAGACTCGGATAAGCCCAAAGACATTGCAGATATTGATAGAATAATTAGTAGTGAGATACCAGACCCATCTATTGATCCAGTCGGCTATGAAGCAGTCACAAAATTCATGCTACATTGGCCATGCGGTCAAGCAAATACTTCATCGCCTTGCATGAAAGATGGTCGTTGTTCAAAGCATTTTCCAAAAGCTTTTACCTCAGACACTACATATGACCGGTTCGGGTACATTGTCTATAAAAGAAGGGATACTGGAATTTCAGTTGAAAAAGGAGGAACAAGACTTGATAATAGATATGTTGTCCCATTCAACAGAGACCTTTTAGTATGGTTGCAGGCACATATTAATGTGGAAATTTGCTACAGAGGAAGGCTGATCAAATACCTCTTCAAGTACCTTACTAAAGGACCTGATAGATCTTTGGTACAAGCTACAAACACAAGTTCCAGGTCAGCAGATGTGCAACCTCCTATTGATGAAATTAAACAGTATCTGGATTGTCGTTATTTGTCATCCTATGAAGCAGCTTGGCGGATCTATGAATTTCCAATACATGAAAGGACGCCATCAGTGTTACGGCTTTGCGTGCATCTCAAAAATCAGCATGTCGTCCCATATAATGAGGATGAACCTTTGGAAGGGGTACTGCAGCGTAAAGGAGTGGAAAATACTATGCTAACCTAGTGGTTCAAGCTTAATAGAACTGATCCAAGTGCTAGAACACTTACCTATGCTGAAATACCAAACAAATACGTTTGGGACTCTAGAAAACGTGATTGGTTTTTGAGGAAAAGAGGATTCCAGATTGGCAGAATAGTATCATCCCTCCAGGGGTTGATGATGTGGTCTATTTGAGAATGCTTTTAACAAAAGCTAAAGGTGCTAAGACCTTTAGAGACCTTAGGAAGGTGAACAATGTGGTATGTCGCACATATAAAATCGCATGCCAAAAATTGGGATTACTTTCAACAGATCAAGAGTGGACAGCTGTGTTGCAAGAAGTTTGTCAATGGGGGCAGTCGTCTTTAATACGCTCTACCTTTATTTCTTTGCTCATGTTTTGTGAAATTACAGAACCACTTGATCTGTTTCACAAATATTGGGAACACATGAGATGACATGGCTTATACAGCTCGACGACAAAGCTCTTCCGTATACTTCGATCCACCATCAAGCTCTTTGCAAAATTCTGTACTACTTGAGCTACAACGACTTCTCAGTTACTATTCTACCACTTTACAGCATTTTGGCCTACCAACACCAAAATTGAGTGACTGTGACTATACTATGAATAGTCTCATTGCTGAACAGCTAGATTATGACATCAACGAACAGAATTTGAGAGCTACTTCACTGTTGCAGTCATTAAATGAAGAGCAAAGGTACGCATATGATGCTGTTTACAATTCGGTGCTTTCGGCACAAGGATCACTATTTTTCCTCTATGGTCATGGCGGTACAGGTAAGACATTCTTATTTGATACCATCATATGCAAGCTCAGAAGTATGAAAAAAATTGTTCTGGTAGTTGCTTCATCAGGTATTGCTGCTACATTATTACCAGATGCAACAACAGCCCATTCGAGGTTTAAAATACCTCTTGACTTAGATCATACTTCTACTTGCGCTGTTAAGAAGGGGACACATCTTGCTCAACTAATAGAAGAGGCGGCTCTTATAGTTTGGGATGAAGCTCCAATGACACATCGATTCTCTTTTGAGGCAATGGATCGAACATTCTGTGACATCATGAACACCCCATTGAGTGGAGAGGGTTACAAGCCTTTTGGGGGGAAGTGCATTCTTTTGGGTGGCAATTTCAAGCAAACGTTACATGTTGTTGTTGATGGGGGCCGCGAACAAAGTATTGATTCTTCTCTAACAAGATCGCATCTCTGGCCACACTTCAAGGTCTTGCCTTTGACAGTCAACATGAGAATCAACTCCAACCCAAACAACCTTCTACCACTATATGAAGGGAGAAAATTTCAAGACTGGGTGTTGGCTATTGGCAATGGAACAATCAAGCAAACAACATTCGAATCATCTACTTTCACAGACTGGATACAACTACCAGATAAGTTTCTCATCCCTCATACATGAAACAAGATTGAAGCAATTACTGATGTCGTTTATAATGATTTTATGGCTAACTATGAAGATACCAGGTATATTCAGAATCGAGCTATAGTAACGCCTACAAATCGCACGGTTTCAGAGATTAATGCATATATGTTAGATAAACTCAAGGGTCGTGCCACGACATACTACAGTTCTGATTCCCTCGAAGGTGACACAGTCACACAGCAAACAAGAGTAACTTAGAAGAAGAATATCCAACTGAATTCTTGAACAGCTTATCATTCAACGGTGTGCCAGAACATGAAATACAATTGAAGGTCTCAACTCCAGTGATCCTTCTTCGTAACCTGGATCGATCTATTGGCCTTTGCAACGGGACAACGATCATGATAACACATTTGGGTGAAAATGTGATTCGTGGTGATATTATTGGAGGATCATATGACAACACAACAGTTGCTATTCCTAGAATTGTGCTCAATGTAACTCAACATCGTTGGCCGTTCATCTTAAAGAGGAGACAGTTTCCAATCAGGTTGTGCTATGCAATGACTATAAACAAGAGTCAAGGACAAAGCCTCGATATAGTGAGTGTTTACTTACCAAAGCCGGTGTTCAGTCATGGAAAACTATACGTAGCTGTTTCACGAGTTCGATCGGCTGATGGTCTGCATATACTGGTTGACAATGACGGAGAAATTCCACCATACTACACCAGAAACATAGTATATGAAGAAACCTTTTTGGATGTCAATGCAACAACTGAGTCTCATACAGGTGATCAATTAAGTTTCTATCATCAAAATAATAGCAACCATATAATTACTACTATGCCTGCTTACGTACTACAGCTAACCAAAACATATACTCCTATTGCAGAAGCCATGGAAATTGATAGGGACGAGCCCAGACAGTAACCAGCATGAAACTGAGCTACTATCATAATCTCCAAACGTTTTCAAATTGGATTTGGTTGTTAATTAGACATGTATGTGTTATGTTCTGCTATTGAAAAACCAATCTATATGATTTTTTCATAGCCATATCTCCCTATGCTATTAGCCAGTTGAGAATTGCCAAACATCAATTATGATTTAATCAACGGCTGTTTTGCACCAATAGTGAGTCCTTTAGGGGGTGAGGCACTGCTGGCTCCTACTAATGTTGCTGAGAGTTTCTGAATTGTGATCTCTGTTTAGCAGACAACAACTACGAGATTTGTTTGAGCTGGGATGCAATGACGAGCAGAATAAGAAACAATTCAGTAGGGAAAGGGATTGACAGTTTTGGACTTTATTTGTTTCATGATCATTTGTTTCAAGGATTAAACTATGCTTAACTACCCCTACAGGAACTATATGGTAATCACCAAAATTAGGCGTTCCGCAGCGGAGTGCGGGCCACAATTCTAGTTTTAATATAATGAGGTCACCAATTTCAAAAAAATAAAAATAAAGGGAGTATGACCCTGTAGTACCTGGAAAATCACAGAGATGTTACTTGTCACCAACACCATCGAAGCTCAATTGACAGTAAAGAACATACAGTCAAGTGCATATCAACCCACTAAGTACCTGTAATGACGAAGCATTAATGCCCAAAAGTGTGCTCAACTCCAATGCTCTTATAGACTCGCGAAAACCACCACCTACAACAGAAATAACCAACACACTTTTCGTTTCTTCTTCAGCGAATGAGCCATAATCAAAGTGAGTGCAAGACTTCTTAGGAGCTCAAACGATTAGGGAAAGTAAAAAAAAAAAACTCATGCTCACCATTGGTCAGGAAAACGTAAGGGATCCATAAGGCACCTGCCAACATACAAGAGGAGAAATCAACGTCTGCCATAAACCGGAAGCGAGAAACATGACATTGTTCGCTAACAGAAGTCTTCGTCTTAGAGGCGTTTGAGAGCTTGAGGGGAGCCGCCGATTGGCGATGTGCTGCGAAAAATGACGCCGTCGATATCGAACGCAATGCCAAAATTACGACGAGGGGGAGGCCTGCGCCTGCATTATCGAAAATCACTGAGAATTTTAGGCGGGTGATTTTGAAACCAGAGATTAGGGAACGGGAAGAAGAGAGAGATAGTGAGAAATCAGGGGGATCGGCAAGCGCACTTTTCCGCGGACTGGGACGACAAATGCACCAAGTATCGCGAGAGGACGAGCGGCGGCTGTGGCGGGGGTGAAATACTACTTGCGGTGCGCCGCCGCACCGCTTTTGCGAGAGTTCGGTACTGAAACCGCATTGCTCTCCGATCACTGCGAACGTTCGGTTGAAGAAGCTTTGCACTGATTACTGAACTGACTTGGCCATTTACGAGCGTTTGGTTACTTGCCGGTCCGCTGCGCCATTTGCGAATTTTCACCATTTTTACACTAACGGACACTAAACATTGGAGGGATTAGCAAATTGGTCACTGAATCCTGATTCTTATCAAATTTGTCATAAAGTGTAGACTAAGACAATAGTCACTTCTTTAGACTAGGACAATCTGTCCTTTATTTTAAAAACTCTTGCAACAGCAGAATCAACAAACATTAGTATATAACCTGCATGATCAACTCGTAATTTAGATCTAAGATATAACTTAAAACATTAAGATGATATCCTTTCATTATTAAGCAATGATAGACACAGTATGTGAATGATAAGCCGAAACATACACGAACCATATAAAACAAAGGAATTGAAAGCATCAATACTGTACTTTCAGCAAGCAGGAGGAGAATTGAGGTAAAATGTGTCAATAAACTGATTTTAACGTTTTTCAACTCAATGTGGAATTAGAGGATTTAGCAACAAACAGAGGCAATTCATAGTTCATGGTTTGCATTTTGATCTAAAATGTAAGCTAAAACAGAAAATAAATGAAGAAATGCTAGAGAAAAGGTGCCATGAGAACTTAGTGGAGATGTTTATTGATGAACATCAAGACAGTAAGAACATCCAATTGTGAATGACACAATCCACCATAAATACGGAGACTCAAGGCAAACATTAGATCGATCAGGGATGGATCATGGATGTGGAGATCAAAGAACACTACTGAATGTGATCATAAGCATGATAAAAAAGATCGGTTTGCAAGGATATTCTGAAGAAGCCTGCCATCAACTTTCCATATCAAATTCGTTTGGAACTTTTTTGCCACACCTATCTATGAGTCACTACTCTCAATTGAATTTTTTGCCGCTTCCGTTGATCAATTGAAATGCGGGAGAGAAGAGGGTTTAAGTGTAAGAATGATTATTACCTATTATTTATGCAGAGGATGCTCAGATTCACAAACCCACAAAATGCAATCAAATAAACAAATAAAAAAAAAGCAAGAAAGATAGAAACCATATTCACAGTTTCCTACCTAGTGAATTGAACGCTAAACACCTAGGGAGGCTTCTGTTGAAACATTCGCCGGGAATTCAGCTGATTGCTTCAACGGATTTCGCTGGGAATAAGAATCGGAAACCTAACTCGGATTGTGCGCTCTTTTCATGAGTGTTCCATTCGCCTGGGCGGAGGAGTAACGGGAGATGAAAAGATTCTTGATTTTCTTTGATTGAAATGGAGGGGAGAAGAGGTGTTGGACGAATTCGAACGGAAGGAGGGGGAGAGGATGGGTTTGTTTTCTTTCTTGTTTTCTCTTTTTTCTTTTTTCTTTTTTGTATTTTTTTCTAGGGGGTACTAAAGAGCTAAACACATGCCCTTCTTTCATTTAAGGAACAATGCTCTCCTTTTAAGAACTCTCCTCCAACACTACCTTCTCATTTCTAGCAAGAACCTTGCAAAATCACCTATGTAGAACCTCAATGGAGCTGAAAACCGAGAACTCTGAGACATAAGGATGACTCACACTTTGACACGAAGAAAGGATGGGTGGGGGTCGTTCTTTCAATCACCATTAAGCTCAATAAGCACGAAGCTCCTAGCATTAGAACGACCCCAAAATCACACGGCTCAAAGGGGTTGACTAGGGGATAAAATGTTTTGGGACAATCAAATATTGGGTGTGGGCTAATCCTCTGCCTCCATCATACTCACTAGTAACAACGGTGAATGTTACACACAATGGCGAGAGGGATCTATCACACATGAAAATGATGATCGACACAAAACTCACATGGTTACCTAGCCGCCCAATCATCCATTCCAATTTAAAAAACATCAATGCATGGCCATTGTAATCAAGAAGTAACCAAGTCAAGACATCCATTCATTTAAGATCAAATGAGAATTAAGCTTTTGCACAACCCTAATGCATTCTGAGTCATCATAATAGGATGCACTCGATTACATGCAACAATTCAAGATTGATGCCGAATAAGCACAAGATTCACCCACCAACCGACCATTTTGATTATGCATTGCTTGGAGCCCTCAAATTTTTCAAATTTGGGCATACATCAAGGCTCCAAGCATTCAATCACACACACAAGCATAATAATAAACCACCCCTACACACTTAATTTCGACATTGCCCTCAATGGCATAAAATAGGGGGTAGAACGATGTTACCGCATGGCTTGGTGAATGAAAGTTGGAGAATTTTCCAGGTAAGATGTTTGAGATTTAAAGGAAAAACAAAACACAAACACATGCACATCTCGCTCGAGGCGAGGTTATTACACATAACAAAATTTCACAATCCGATTCAAAATAAAGAACTCACAAAGTACTAGTTAAGGATAAAAATCAAAATCAAAAGAGTTCATAGTTTTCAAGTGGAGAAGTGGGGCGAAAGAAATCAGCTCTGCCACATGTCTCCTTCGATGGCTACCTTGTCGTTGGCAAGAACACTCCTCGTCATCCGAGTGGGCGCCCTGGCGTCGACCCATCCTCTCTATGAAATCGGCGATTCATTCGAGCCGAGCAATGAATCCCACATAATGTGCCTCGAGGCGATCCACTCGCTCCTCGAAGTAGGGTCCGGAGGTAGAGGGCCCGGTGCAGCTCATGATGGTGGTGGTGCGTTGCGTATGCGGTGGCGGGGAGCTCTGGTGAGGGGCTGCTCCGGGGGAGGTACTTCTGGTGTGAGGGAGAGTCCCTCAATATAGCGAAATGCTCCGAAGTCTCGAAGCAAATTCATGGCTCTTAAGGTGTTCTCCCCAAATCCCATGGAGTGCCTTTCCTTTTTGCAACACTCGAGGTTGACATTGAAGTGTTAAACTAGGTGGTTTATGAAGGGGCCCATTGATGTGATGTAGCATCGAATGCCATTAATAGCCTTGCTAAAAGAGGTTGGCAGAACTGAGCCAAGTTGAAGTTGACTGGATGGGTCCGCCATGGAGGTGAATGCTAGCAATGCTCTCATGGTGATATTGTTCGCGCACATGTAGCTTGGGTAGAGAGAATGAGCTAGGAGTGTGTTGATAACACGCCATTGCGGCTTGAGCATAGATGCCGAAGTGGGGGATGGAAAATCTTCTTGAAGCGGATTGCGTGTCGAAATCTTTGAGGGCATCAGCCTCCCACGCTTCTTCCGACCTCTCGGGACTCCCATTGCATCAGCAAACTTGTTGAAAGAAATTCTTTGAGGCACACCTCCCAAGCAAAAACAAACGGTGCAAGTCGGTTGCCCCATTAGGTTCGTCTCCCTTAGGATGCAGAATCTGCTAAAGAACTCTACACACAGCTCCATGTAGATGTCGTCTTCCAACTGGAGAAGCTGCCATTGTGGGTGCGCTACAGCCTGTTGCATGATATCTCCATAGTGAAGGCCATCAAATTGAGTGAAGTCGAGCTTCCAGTGAACTCCAGTCCAAGTACCGTTGGCTCAGGTCAACCATCCCACAACAACATCCATGTCATACACCATACGTGGAAATAATTGTCAATTTCACATCAAGTGGAGAAAAGATTTTCCACACTTAGGCGTCCACTACGGTCCTATGCCTTGAAGGCTTTTCACAAGACCGACTTTTGGACAATTAAGCTTAAATGCACACAAAGCTCACCGAGGCATGGTTTTAGGTGGTTCACGGATTATCAACACAGAAAAGAAAACCTAAACCATGCCCCGATGGCTTCCAACCATTAATCAAAATCACTGATTCACATTCATTCACATTTTTGCACTTGGTCCCTCGCCCTAATTTCTACATTCGAGCATCAATTTACAAAAATTCAGCTCACTTCACACCCTAATCCGATTCTCCAACAAATGATAAGGAAAAAGTTCAAAAAAACCTAGAGACTCAAGTAGGGTTGAGGTTCAAGGGAAAAGAGGGTGAGGGGGCCGAAAAACTGGTCGGAGGGGAGTCACTGGAGCCTCACCGGATACTCGCCGAAAATCACCTCTCTGAAAAACAATCTGTGTCAAACCGTCCCAAAACTTTGGTAAAGGTGCTCCTTGGTGAGGGAAGTCTGAGTCTGTGGTTTGTTTTGGCTTTGGGTGGCCGGAGGACGCCGAAATCGACAAAAATTGACTGAAATAGCGATTTTCCGATGAGATTTGAAATTTTCCGGCGAAAGGGGCGGTCGTAAAGTAAACTGAGCCGTTCACACACCTTTTATAGGTAGAACCATCAGTTCACAGATGGAGGAGCCATTACACGGTCATTAAGACCGTGAACATAACTCCATGCCCGTGAATTGGGGTTAAATGTTGAGTTTTGAAAAGAGGGGGAGCACCCTCGGTTCATGGACAGAGGCACAAATCGTGAACTGAGTAAAAAACAGGGCACTCTCAAAAATCTTTGATTCAATCTACTCAACCGTGCCCCTAATTCGATCACACTACACCCGTAAACACAAAACCACAGAGACATGGAACGGAAATACCCAATTCGACACTTGAACTCTTCACACTCACAAAAAGAGAAAAATAAGGAAAAGAAAACAAAGCGTTATTGGGTTCCCTCCCAACAAGCGCTAGTTTAACGTAACTAGCTCGACGTTGCGGATCTATCATGCTTGAGGGCATGAAGCCATTGAGAGTGGATACGCCACTGTCTCAGGGCAAAGCTTGTCACCTCCTACCTTTAGCTTCTTAGGGTGGCCCTCTTGGAGAATGAGAGGTTAAGGAAGAATCATTACTTTGCTGAGAGGGTAACCCTCCTTGGTTAGAACGAAACCAACCTTTAAGGGAGAAATGACACCAGAAACTAGGGCTGGTAATTGGTTATATGGTTAACGGTTTGACCGGATACCGTACCGGTAACCGGTTAAACCGTTAACCGTGAACAACGGTATGCGGAAGGGTCAGATGGGCAACGGTAATACCGGGACCGGGGTTGCACCTTACCGACGGCTGGCTG